GCTTCCTCATCTTAACCCTTGTCATGGCCGGCATGAACCTCAGGGTCGACATGAAACTCAAGATTGACATGAGCCTCTTGATCGACGTGCAAATCACAGTCGTCATGAACATCATGGTCAACATGAAACTCAAGTTCGGCATGTACCTCATGATCGGCATAATTTCCGCATTTTTTTTATTCCCAGATGTCATCATAACTAATTTCTTCTAATTCATCTATTCCGCTTCCCCATCTTAACCCTTGTCATGGCCGGCATGAACCTCAGAGTCGACATGAAACTCAAGATTGACATGAGCCTCGTGATCGACGTGCAAATCACAGTCGTCATGAACATCATGGTCAACATGAAACTCAAGTTCGGCATGTACCTCATGATCGGCATAATTTTCTTATTTTTTTTTATTCCCAGATGTCATCATAACTAATTTATTTTAATTCATCTTTCCCGCTTCCCCCTCTTAACCAACATAAAACTCAAGTTCGGCATGTACTTCATGATCGGCATAATTTCCGCATTTTTTTTATTCCCAGATGTCATCATAACTAATTTCTTCTAATTCATCTATTCCGCTTCCCCATCTTAACTCTTGTCATTGCCGGCATGAACCTCAGAGTCGACATGAAACTCAAGTTTGACATGAGCCTCATGATCGACGTGCAAATCACAGTCGTCATGAACATCAATGTCAACATGAAACTCAAGTTCGACATGTACCTCATGATCGGCATAATTTCCGCATTTTTTTTATTCCCAGATGTCATCATAACTAATTTCTTCTAATTCATCTATTCCGCTTCCCCATCTTAACCCTTGTCATTGCCGGCATGAACCTCAGAGTCGACATGAAACTCAAGTTTGACATGAGCCTCATGATCGACGTGCAAATCACAGTCGTCATGAACATCATGGTCAACATGAAACTCAAGTTCGGTATGTACCTCATGATCGGCATAATTTTCTCTTTTTTTTTATTCCCAGATGTCATCATAACTAATTTATTTTAATTCATCTTTCCCGCTTCCCCATCTTAACTCTTGTCATTGCCGGCATGAACCTCAGAGTCGACATGAAACTCAAGTTTGACATGAGCCTCATGATCGACGTGCAAATCACAGTCGTCATGAACATCATGGTCAACATGAAACTCAAGTTCGGCATGTACCTCATGATCGGCATTATTTCCGCATTTTTTTTTATTCCCAAATGTCAGTGTTTGTTTTACACGGGGTTGATTTTTCAATATTTTTTCCTTCCTTCTCTCTACACTTTCACATTTTGATCCTGGATTTTGAATTATAATTTTATTTAGTAGTTCGTCATGTTGAATTAAGTTTTTTTTTCAATATAATGTTCTCGAATTCTAGTTGAAATATTTTTTTAATAACTGAATTAATTAATAATTGTCTTTTCATTTACAATCAACATAACAAATTTAATCTATTTCATCTTTCCCGCATTCCCATCTTAACCCTTGTCATGGCCGGCATGAACCTCAGAGTCGACATGAAACTCAAGATTGACATGAGCCTCATGATCGACGTGCAAATCACAGTCGTCATGAACATCATGGTCAACATGAAACTCAAGTTCGGCATGTACCTCATGATCGGCATAATTTTCTCATTTTTTTTTATTCCCAGATGTCATCATAACTAATTTATTTTAATTCATCTTTCCCGCTTCCCCCTCTTAACCAACATAAAACTCAAGTTCGGCATGTACTTCATGATCGGCATAATTTCCGCATTTTTTTTATTTCCAGATGTCATCATAATTAATTTATTCTAATTCATCTTTTCCGCATCCCCATCTTAACCCTTGACATGGCCGGCATGAACCTCAGAGTCGACATGAAACTCAAGATTGACATGAGCCTCATGATCGACGTGCAAAGCACAGTCGTAATGAACATCATGTTCAGCATGTAGCTCAAGTTCGGCATGTACCTCATGTTCGGCATAATTTCCGCATTTTTTTTATTCCCAATTGTCAATGTTTGTTTTACACCTTTTACTTTACCTTGATTTTTCAATATTTTTTCCATCCTTTTGTCCACATGGTTAAACACAAAGTCTAAAATTAGTCACTTGAAAAACACGTTAAATTTCGATGGCGAATTTTCACTAACTTTGAATTAATAAATTTTTAAAAATTTGTCGATGTGAACCAAATTAAAATGCGTAAGTTGTGTGTTCTAACTTTAAAAATGATCAAAACGTCAAAGTAACGTGTTTTTCATTTTCTTTAACTCCATAATTAATTTACATGCGATTTTCCGAAAAATTGAAATCAAGAAAGCAAATATTACAGCCTACGAATGAATGATTAGAACTAAAATAAGGTCAGTAAATTGAAATTCCTAAACCCATATAGAATTAATTATCGTTAATTGATAACATTAGTGCGGCATATATACTAGCGATCTTTATTTTTATGGATTCTCTGTAGGTATAAAATTATGCTTTTTTATGTATACAGTTAATACTAATTTACTATGTTTACAGAATATCAAGGACATTTCCTGAGCCCTTTCTAAGCAAATTAATAAAATAAATCGGCCCATATTTTCTTTTTTTCTCACAACAAGTGTAACCTGTTCTAAATAACAAACTTATTATTAAATCCAAGCAGTATCACGCGCGAGGGAGTGGTTTTGAATAAATGTTAATTTACTTTTTTCTCTAATGTCATCATAAAGCTATAAACACCGTTTCTAAAAAAATCTGTAAACCTGATTCGTAAAATTTGTATTTTCATCTTAGAACAACCTTTAAGCGCAAGATGAAAAATAGTTTCAGTGTGCACATCGACCACAGACAAACAAACATTTTTTCGTATTCCAAAACTTTTGAAACCAAATAGGCCGTACTGAAATACTCTCTCAGCTTACGTTCGGAAGGTTAAAAAAATCGAGAAAGGCAAACATTATTTTAATTGAAGTATATTTTAAGAGCCAATTAAAAGTTTTTCTATCACCTATATTTCTTTGTGTTATTTCTTACTGTATATTTTATGGAGATGAAAAACGACACAAAAAAATAAAATAAGACAATTTTGACAATTGTTTATTAGTTTATTAGCAGGAGAGAAAACTTTGAAATTAGACTGACACATTACATAACGGATATTATTTAAACGATAATTCCAAATTTTGTGATTGAATTCAAAACATAGTGAAAGCATAATTTTGAAAGTAGTAGGTATTTATATAAGAAACAAATATGTACCTGGCTTTAAAAAATAAGTAAAATTTTGAAACGTGACTTACGTCTGAAATGCTAAGAACAATGTAACATTTATGCAAGCTATAAATTAACCCACAATTATATTTATACTTTTTAAAATAAAGTTGCCATTTAAAGAAGTATGAATGCCGTTACAACTTGGTATAATTTTTTCCCGATTGCCGTGTCAGTCTTTATCACAGTGTGGTATGCGTTTAGTTTACACACTTATAGACATTCTTATATACATTTTCAATAGAATTTGCTTTTCAAATGTAGTTTCTTCATGGTTTTAATCCAGTCTGATTCCAAAAACTCATTAGCTTATCTTATTTATTATAATATATCACTACTAACAAATCTAAGAATTTTTATAAAAGATTTTCAACCACAAAATTACCTGGAGGTCAGCTTAGCCGCAATTTTACTGAACGTGATTAAATATTTTGGTGACAGAATGACGGTAATTTAGATCACGATCTACGTTCATGCTCGCGTTTACTTTAAAACTGTGGCATAAATTAGAAACAAAACCATTGGTTGTTGCATATCAACTGATTGGAAATACCATAACTCTTATCTTTTGACACAGGGAAGTAATATAAGGAATTAAAACAACATAGGTGCTAATAATCGTTGACCAAAATAAAATCGACAATACGGCGTCCCAATCCCCGGATACCTTATCTACTTCAGTTTTATTATAACCTGATTCATGCTAATTACCTAGAAGCAAAAGCGACGTGTGAACTAATCGCTACCTAATTTTATCACCTTTCGTTCAACCTTGACCGAAACATTAACAACCCATCAACTAAATTTTTAAACTGTCGTTTTCAAATTTTAAAATTTTTTCAAGTCACCTGCAGCTTTCGCGGTTGGCAAGATTTACTATTTTGGAAAACTTAGAAATTGTGTGACTTTTTCCATTGTAATGAAATTAGCAGAAATATTTGTTGATTACAAAATTGTAACACGAGTTTTTTTCTCGTGCTATTACTGACGACAAACATGAAAACGTATTCCTTCAATACAGTGGCAAAAAAGGTAAACGGATCTTAGCAAATTTTGTGAGATATTGTACCATTGTATGCGTATACTTAGTGACCTGGAACCGAGATAGAATTGTTTAGTACATCGGTCAAGGTGATAATTAACAAGTTGAAAGTTACTGAACTAAAATGTTGGGTGGTATGTGCAAGAAATATCAGAATTTATTTTATGCAATTAATGCAAATGAACAGGGATGTGCCCGATGGATTACAGAGGTGGCTCTGCAATATTTCTATTTTTACAAGTTGGGAAAATTTTTGCTAAAACTGTCATAACACGACCTTGTCTCAGCAAGAGCGCTAAAATTATAAGTAATATAAGAATTACGGAAAAATGACGAAAACTTCCAGCATTTATTTTAGATAAATATTTAAAAGTGAAGGATTATGGAAAACATCGGAAGTATTTTATTCAAAAACTTTTTAATTTGTTTAATTCTAAAAATTCGCAAAATGGAAAATTTCGCTGTTCTATTTAAGATAACGTCCCTTACCTTATTTTTCTATATATCAATTAGGCATTACTCAACAAAACCCAATCTGTGCAAAAATTTGTTCATTTTGCTCGTGAAGGATTACTTATAATCTGTTTGGATTACAATAATTATTCAATCTGTTCTGTCGTAAATATTGGCAAAATTAATATTATATTAAAAAGCTTGTGGCAAAAAAGACCACTATAAAAGCTTCAATGTTTCAGATTTTTGTTTGTTAGGTTTGATGAGTGTAACACTTCGAGATGAAATTTGTGTTGACGGTTTTAAATTAATTTTTTGTTTTTGATAATTAATAATACCCCTAGTGTGATTTCAGATAATAATTTCTGCATTTTATTTTGCACCATCACTCATGCAAGAAGATGATTATTATGATGATTATTCTCCTCTCGAACTTGCCGACTTCGTTTACATTCGATCGAGTAGTGTAGAAGATCAGGGTGGGTATTTTATAAGAAACCAAGAGATGACAACGACTCCTCAAAAAAGTCAACCGGTATATAGAATGTGTACAAATAAGGTTAGTATTATTTTAACATTTTTCAGAATGCCTTTTCCTTACGTGTACAGTAACCGAGTCATCTGCATTGTTATTTAGTACTTTCTTAATTATTTTCTTTATTTCAAACACCACCTCTTTCATTTTTAATAAATATGCTGTTCTGGTTTTTGAAGAAAAGTCTGGAGCTGTTCATACTTTTTATATTTATTATTTTTTTTAATTTAAAAATATCTAGTATTATTATAAACGAGTCCATTAGACGATTGGCTACTTTTTTCTCCTCGTTTCATGACCCCTATAATAGTACGAAAAAATAGGTCTCCCGCTTCTGCCTGTCTGCCGTCTGCCCGAATTTTTATTATACAGATAATCTCCGAAAATACTGGGAACATCCCCATCAACAATAGGATGACGTCATCTTCAAAATTTACGTTTGTAAATATATTTGATTATAAAATAAGATACCCCTTCACATGCCGTTGATGAATCCGTACTCAATTTTTACAACATTTTGCAATTTAACTTTAAAACTGCAGTGTCGAATGCTCTGAAATTTGCAAACGTTTTAAGGTTATCGTAGTCATGGGACATTGTTAATCAAAATTTATTCGTTTATCCCCTTCCAAAAAATTGATAACGTCATCTCAAAATTTTGCCGAATAAATCCTCTCTGAAATATGCAAAATATGATGAATTGATGATTCTATAATTGTGGTTTAACAATGCACTCATAGATGTGACAATTACTTATGCAGGGTGATTAAAAAAACTTAATAAATGAAGCAAGTTACTGTACTGACTCCAATCAAGAACGACTTACTCCATTTTTCCGAAAATTTAGGAATAGAGTACTGTTATTACAAATATTACACTGCATCTATCCAAATTGATATTCGTGTTTTTGAAAAAAAATTTGATGGCGTTATCACAAAATTTTGTAATGGATTTACATTTACTTTAACATTATATACATATCTTAATCCTAATTTATAAGGGTTCTCATAAAAAATAAAATTCACATAATCAAATCTTATAATTTTTCAAAAATCTGGATTTATTTACTTTCGACCAATTTTTGGTGTCACAATATTTCATTTTTTTCTTTTTCTTTCATTTTTCAATTTTGCGTTTTTTCAGGTTTAATTTTTCCCCCTTTTTCATTTCTCGACTTACAAATTTTTCAATTTTTCGTTTCTTCAACCGGTTTGCAATTTTTGGATATTACAATGTTTTATTTATCAGTTTTGCAGTTTGCCAATTTTTAATTCTTCGATTTTTCTAGTTTTCGTTTCCTCGATGGTTCAAATTCTTTTCTCGTTTTTTCAATATTTCTTTCGATTTGATAACCTTTCATTTATTCCATTTTTCAAATTTTCAGTCTTTGGTTTTTCAATTCCTCGATTTCCCCATTTTTAAATTTTTCAATTTTGCCATTTTTGAATTTCTCAATTATCGTATTTTCCGATTTCTTTGATCGATTTTTCAATTTTTCATTTGCTCAATTTTTCAAGTTGTTCATTTCCAATTTTTAAATTTTTCGTTTTCATTTTATAATTTTTCGTGTTTTCATTTTTTATTTTTCAGTTTTACAATTTTTTCCATTTCTTATTTTATTCTAAAAGTTGAAAAATCGAAAAACCAAAAATACGAAAAACTGTAAAATCGAGAAAATTGCAAATCGAAGCACTGATAAAACGAAAAATGGAAATTGAAAAATTAAAAATCAATGAATTAAAAAACAATGAATCGAAAAATTGAAAAGAAGAAAAAACGAATCCGGTCGAAAAATTGGAAAACCGAAAAATTATGGAATTGTCAAAATATGGAATGTCGAAAAACTGTAACATTGAAAAATCGAAAAAATGAAAAAATAAAGAAAGTAAAAAAGCGAAACGAAAAATTGCAAATCGAAAAATTAAAGAAATGAATATGTAATTGCAAAATTGTGTATCGAAAAATTGAAGAAACCAAATCTGAAAAAGTTAAAATTGAAAAAAACAAACAATTGTAAAGTCGAAGAAAAAGTGAAAAATTGTAAAAAAGAAAATAAAAAACCGAAACAAAAAATTACAAATCAAAAAATGGGAAGGTTAAAAATTGGAAACTCGAGGAACTCAGTTCGAAAAATGGCAAATCTAAAAACTGAAAAATTGAAAAGTACTGAAAAATTTAAACTTGAAAACTCGAAAAATTACAAACTGAAAAACTGAAGAAACAAAAAAATGGAAAATTGAACAATTGAAAAATTCAAGTCAGAAAAGCTGAGGAAGTGGTATTTACGCCACTGCTTTTTACTTTATAGAGGTTATTAGAAAACCAAAGTCGCAAAAAGAAGAAATACTTTTTCAAAAAAGTGGGTTTTGTTACGCTGCACTTCAGGGGCGAGGGAAGTTCTATCGAAATAACCGTCGACTAATTTTTTAACTTAACTATATTTGTCATTAAAGTGTCTTTGTTAATTTGTTGTATACCCTACTAGAACTACAGCAGTTTCCTAGATAAACTTATAAACTTGAGGTACCATCTCATTTCTCATTTCACAAAACTTGAAATGTGTAGTCTCGAGGACCAAACTTCTAACATTAAAAACGCCTCATTTTTCCAATGTTAAGGTATTTTTGAGGAGATTATCGCCCATCGGAATTATATTCATTCATATATTTTTTATTATGGTGTTTGAAATAGTTTGTTTATATTTTTAGAATAAGAATATTATATGTATTGAGAAAATTTCAACAAATATTTCTTCAGTAAACGGTACAGATTGCACACCTCAAAAAATAAAACAAGTTACCTGTGAGAAATGTTACGAAATCCAAGTAAGATAAGAATTTTATTTAACAGGTATAATTAACATCATATTTTCAGGGTAATGGTACTGTACACAAATTATTACATTCAATAAGAGCACGACCGAAAGAAATTAAAATTTTTTGCAGAAACCTAATTTACGTAAAATGCTACGATTTTAAGACAGAGTATGTGGATGTAGGATGTGCTCTTTGCAAATAAAATGAGGTTCTTTCGCTTACATTTTCAATAAAATTTATCTGCAATATATTGAAGAATCTAAGGGAAAGTTTGATAATCAGACTTTTTAAAAGTGTTACAGACGGTGTAAATTTGGCGTTCCACGACGCAAATTTAAACAATACGTATTTATTATCAAAACAGGTTACAAAAATTAATGAAATTTTGGTTATCAAATTCGTCCCTTAATTCTTTTTTTTTTCCATTAGTACAATGTATTAAAAAATCGTATTGAACTCTTTCTTACATATATAACTATTTTTTTAATTTGTCATAACTTTGGAGACATTAAGCAAATTACTGTTAAGCATTCGAAAGTAGTCGTTTTGCCGATGGGTAAGTAAAACAGTATAAAAGAAAATGGTTTGAAAATAATCGCCACACAAATATTCGAAACAATACCTACAACATGAAACTGGTAAGTTGTTCATGACTTAATTAAAATTATTACTTTATAACTCTGTATAAAAAATTTGCAGATATTCGCAACACTCCTAACTTTGGCCATCAGCGCCCACGCCACTTACACTTTGCCAAAATTAGTGGTACCATCAGTCACTTATGGCGTTCCAGAAGAACCAAAACCAGTTGTGCCAGCTGTAGTTTACGGCGTTCCAGAAGTACCCAAACCAGAACTTGCCCCCATCAAGACCGAATACTCCTACACCCTTCCTGCAGTCGCGACAGTACAAACCCATCACGAAGAACTCCCTTCCACAATCCACGTTCCTTCTGGTGTAACTACGCTCGTTGATGGTTACGCTGCTCCCCACGACTCCGTTCCCTATACACATGGTTACATTTCTGGACTCCCAGCACCCCAAATCCTCAGTCCTCATGCCCCAATTTTGGGATACTCCTCCGTGTACTCTTATGGTTATTCCGTTCCTCATGTCGCTTATCCCCACGTTACCTACAGTGCTCCCTCATCTCAAGTAGTCACAATTACTGGACCATCTCAGATCAGTACTGTTATTGCTGGACATGATACTGAAGAAATCCACGAGGAACATTTACAAGAGCCCGTTGTGTCGAAATATGAATACGAAGTCCCCCATGTGGTTGTCCCAGAGGTTAAGCCCCATACCACCTACGGTCTTCCTCACGTTGTTGTCCCCGAACCTGTGGTACCCCACACGACATATGGACTTCCCTACTAAATTGTTGTTATTTATAAGCGATAAAAATAAATAAACATATTTAGTAAAAACTTTGTTTCAATCCACGAATACAACAATTAAAATGGCACAATATGATACTGATACAAAGATAACACAAAAATTAAGACATGAGTAAGACTGTTTAAAAATGTAAAATTTGACATTGAACAATAATCGTTCATTAATCGCTTTTAAACGGACGAATCGTAAAAACAGACATTCTGCTTTTATTAAATGGTCTTTTTATTGCAATTATTTTCAAATTGGTAGATAATATTTTCTTTTAAGAAGCGCGCCTTGTGGCATAAATAAAATTAGCTTTAATATACAGAGTATTTGTAAAAAATAAATTATTACAATTTTCAAAAATCAATATTTGAGTTTTTTCAAATACAACACCATCTGTTTTATTACATATCTAACTATACACTTCTCTCAGTCAAAAGATCGTAAAATATTGATTGTTGTTGGCAACATACTCGCATTTAAAATTTTCTGATGTCAAAATCAAATTTTGAGCACTAATTCAGCAGCTGCCATCTGGTCATTGGTTTTTAAACTCATGTCAAAATAAAAGTGTCAACCCAAAAATTTGCTTCAATCATTAATAGTCACCCGGTATATTCGTACACGTCAACCATAATCGACTAGAAGATAACAATCAAACTATATCCATGCATGTACAAAAAAAAAGATCTCTAAGCGGCCTCAGGAAATATGTTACTTAATCTACACAGATCAAAAATAATAATAACATCAGTTATTACGAATATTTAACCCTAATCTTCCATATTGTAAAGCTTAATTAAAAGTTACTATTCTATTACTAATATCACATTCACAATATTATATAAGGCTTTGACTTGACACGTTTTTACAGTGCGTTATTGTCGTCACATAACGATCGTCCAAATATGAAACGTTTGATACTGGTTCGTCCTATACTATTTCTTTTATTTCAATTTTACAAATTTTGTTTACAGATTGGTTGTTGTATTTCTCAATTTATATTACCATTGTCGGCAAACGAAGATTTTTATGGCGAGGAGGATTCTGATTTTGAAGACTATCAGTACCCACTCGAAAGAATTAGCCGAAAGTACGAGATCGAAACCATATTTTGCCGAGATGAGGTTAGTATCACTATATTGGTTACAAAATTTTAAAACTAGAGTAACTTTTATGCTTTGATTTTTACTTCCCCTCTTGTCTCTCATGTGTCCCTGATCTATCTGTATTGTCGATTTTATTAAACCGACGAACCGATTACTTTAAATTTATTTGTACAAAATAAGTTTAAATTAACACACTAAAATATATTATCTTGTTACAGACTACTAAATCACACATAACATGCCACGAAAAAATAGAACAAAATTTTATGGGGTTTAATGCTACGCCATCGTTTGTAGATGATCATATCTGTCTGAGATGTTCTGATGTTAGTACAATTACTGGACCATCATTACCTAGTGTATTAATTTACTTTTTTAGCGTCAACGTGGAATGATTAGGAGTAGCACGATCGAAAGGCAAATTTTCATTTTCGAGAAAACTGGAATCAATGGATGCTACGAACAAAAAGTATATCGAAAAAGCTTCGGTTGCAGTATTTGTAGAAATAAAATATACAATGCGTTTATAAAGGATTCATCCATCGAAATACCTGTGTAAAAAAAATATTCCTATGAGTGCTGAATATGTGAAATATATAGCCACTCTATTATGTAGACAACAATTAATACATCTGGATACTGTTTTGTGGGTCTAAATAATATTCTAATAAACTTCGCCTAATAACACTAATTACTTTGTTGTTTCTTTTTCCGAATTTTAGACTTTAGTGTTGTCATAGCATAGTAAAATTTCTTTGTTTCCTATATAGATGTATTTTATTATTATTAATTTACCATCAAGTTTCAGTTATACATATTTTACTATTTTAATACGACATACCCAAATATGCATATAACTATAAGGATAAATCGTTTGAACATGTATGAACTATAATGGATAATAAAACAATAAAACTAAACAAAAATGTTGAAATCTGAGTTTCTAATTAAAACTCTTAGCTACATACATTCACAATCGCATACCTATTTATGTAACAGTAGTTAAAAGTCATGTCACAAAAAAGTTTTTGTATTTATTTATTTTTATTTCGATAAGTAGAGTGCAACTTTGGGCAATTCCGCATGTTGTGGTTTATTAACTGGATTTTATTTTGTACTTTAAATGTTTAGATTTTTGGAAAAAAAATTATGACAATATTTTTAATTTAAGGGATTACCATCTAAGTGTAAAATTTTGCAGTATTAATTTTAAGAGTCTTAGGAATTCGTGTTCTTTTATTTTTGAAAAAAATTTCAAAAACGTCAGGTAATTTTGAAAACATCTTGGGGCTTGATCAGCTACGTTAAATTAGTGATTACTTCGACGTCAGGCCAGATTATCAGGTCAGGCCAAATCCTAATAAGTTAGTCAAATCAGATTAGACCACATGGAACCAGGCTGATGTGGATCGAACTAGATCAATTCAAATCAATTTAGAAAAACTGATGCATTGGTTACAGATCTTTAGCTAATAAACTTTTATCATCAGTGCTTTCACAAGTTTGATCACCATTTCGAGGGCGTTTTTCCATTTTTTTCACCATGCTTACTTCATTCGATGTTCAATGATTGTTACAGTTTTCTCCTTCGGGAAAGATTAATAAACATGTTTTTTTATTGTCCTCTACAATGAGTAAAATTTATTTCAAATACATATATTGCTCTCTTGGTCATGTCATGAGTGTTTCTCACAATAATATTCTCAAAATGCCATTTCAAGTTATTTCCTATTTTAAACCGTATGTAGAAGTAATAGCTTTAGTTTTCATGGCCTTTTTGTGCGTCTAGTATCTTTTTTTTTTTTTCTAAAAATATGAAATCATCTTTAGGCGCTTTTTTTAAAGAATTTGCAGAAATTTCAGATATCCTGGTGATTTGTTTTTGAAAATGTATTGAAAGAATAGGAGGGGCGCAGAGTATATTTTTTTGAAAATATGACAGAATTTTTGGGACTCCTTTTCTTTGTGAAATAAATTGAAAAAGTCTCGGTGACACCTGTCGGCGTAAGTTTATCTCCAGCCTCACACACTGTTAATAATAATTTATTATTGTGAAAATTTAAAGTTCAAAATCTAACTTTTATCGTACCAACCACAACAAAATTCCCCATAATTAAAAAAAAGTGAAAAAGACATTTTAGAACACTCATTTGGCGACTCGTTTTCCAATTGAAAATTGTACTATACTAACCTCTTCTTGGGTTATTCGAATTTTCTTGACATTTATTAGCAATTTAAGGGTTCACAAAAAATCGCAATAGGTTTATTTTTCAAATCTGTATTACAATAGATTTTGTGGACAGATACATGAAAAAAGTTGCCTTTCGAAATATTATAAATATTGAAGTACGTCAATTATAATCAACTAGAAGATAGCAATCAATAAATTATATCCACGCATGCATAAAAAAAGATCTCTAAACGTTCTCAGGAAGTATTATAAATCCTTACTTAATCTATACAGATTAAAAATAATAATAACAATTATTATGAATATTTAACCCTAATCTTCCATATTGTAAAACTTAATTAAAAGTTACTATTCTAATACTAATACCGCATTCATAACATTATATAAGGCTTTTGGCATGCATATTTTTGCAGTAGCGTTAGTACTATGTCCCATACCGATCCTCCAAGTATGAAACATCTGATAGTGGTTCGTCCTTTCCTTTCTCTTTAATTGCAGTTTCATATTTTTTGTTTACAGATTGTTTGTTTTTTTTCTCAATTCATAATAGCATTGTCGGCAAACGACGACTTTTATGGAGAGGAAGATTATGATTTAGAATACGATTACTTCCTCGAAAGAAACAGCCGAGAGCAGCCCAGGAAGAGTAACGTAACCAGATTATGCTACGATAAGGTTAGTACAGTAGTGTCTTTTTTTTACCCTAGCCATGGGGTTTTACATGCTAAACTTTGAATTGTATGAATGAATTTTCAAGTGATATTTGGCAGAAAATTAGATTGGTATTTTATAAACCAATTTCTGTTCATTTTATCATACTGTATTTTAGTTACAAAATTTCAAAACTGGAATAACTAACTGTCAAGAGTTTTTATGTTTGATTTCGAATTAATAACAAGTGTCTCATCTACCACTAATTTACCTGTCTATGATCGATTTTATTCAACGGCCAAACCGACTACTTTAAAATTTTGTTTAGTTCTTCTAAATTAATTAGAGCAAATAGAAATGTAAAAAAAAATGTACTTTATCGCATTATATACCTATGGCCTGTGTCTATGATGATTAATTTTTTTAACGATTTTTGTTCTATGCTTGACAAGCAACAAAACTATTGAAAGTAACTGCTTATGCTTTATTAAAATAAATAAATAAATAAACGAGATAAGATATGCATAATGAAGAAACATATAGTTTTCGAACAAATCAGTTGTCATTTGTAGAAAAAAAATTAAATAACTCACTAAAATATGTCCTACTGTTACAGTCTACTGACAAAATAATAACATGCTGGGAAACAAGAGAAAAACATTTTGTAGATAAACGCCGTGGTGAGATACCACCCATACCATCAATTGTAACAAACTACGTGTGCCTAGGATGTAAAGATCAAACAAATATGGATACGATGAAAAAGCCAATTTTCATTTTTCGATCTATTGGAAATGGATGCTTTCATCAGGAAAAATATAATCAAATGGTCGGTTGCAGTATTTGTGGGGGTGAAGGAATAATTATGGACTAACACACCAGGATACCACGCTGATCTAAATAATATTCTAATAAACTTCGCCTACAACACTTCCTTAATTGTTTCTTTTTCCGAATTTTAGAATTAAGTGTACTGTTATATTGTATTATCACAAATAAACATACTATTAAAGTTTAAAGTTTCTGCCTTATGACATAGTAAATTTCTCTGTTTTCTACGATGTTAATAAGTATTGTGGTGACCGAATTTGAATCAAATTTTCGCGCCGAATTTAATTAACAGCGGCGCGAAATCACATTTGAAAAAAAATCGTTAAACATAGCCCTTGTGCACGTTTAGTTCTTTTCCTGATAGTTCGTAGCTCGCTGGATGTGTTTTTGTGAGTGTAACCACGTGGTAAGGTATTTTGGTTAGTTTAGTTGGTTTGGTAGTTCATAAAAAGGAGAAAGCCTTTGTTTGACGAAAATTAACCGCAACGATGACGTCACAGTTTTCCCCAATACGCCAACACATGCTGTAAATTTATTTTATTGTTTGTAAATTCACCGATCAGGTTAGGATTTTTAATTGTTAATTGGTGCTAACACAATTTAACAGACATTTTTTCATGAAATTCACTTAGTGAGAACTAATTTGATTCTGTTTGTCTAAATATAAATAATTTTCTGAGGCATTTCCTCGCTACGTTAAAGATTGATCACATCACCGAGGCATTTCCTCGCAACGTTAAAATTTACATCACCGAGACGCTTTTTCCTCGCAAGGATGACCGGATATTTTTGTGTTTATTCATTATGAGATTGTTGGGGTAACCAATTCACGATAAAGTTAATTATTTTAAGTAACCAATCACTTGGATCAAGACATAATTTAACATAATATAAATTCTTTGTTTGAATCATTGATAAAGTATGGCAAATGTTAATCTCATGTAAATTTGTTAGCTTTGCAATTTTTCACCTCATACAATCTCACAATTTTAACCTCAGTAATTTTCTTTGTTGTATAATTCTAATGGGACGTAAATTTTCTTGCTCTGTAGTCTTAACCTCGCGTAATATTTTTTATTTGCACAAGTTTACTTCGCACCAGATCTTGTTTTGTTATTTTTTTTTTTATATATAAATCCTTGCTAAGTTTTGTTTTGTAAATATGTTGTTGATGAATGTTTCCATCATAAACATTATCTGATGTCCAATTTTAATCTCACATAAGAATTTTTTTTTTTAATTTCACATTCATGATTGTATGGCAAATTTAATTGTTGTTTATTGCTCTTTTGAAACTAACACTTATTCAGTTGTCGTTAATATCAGAGTCATAGAAATTGAACATTTAAAATGAAATTGAGGTTAAAAAACACCGAAAGACGTAGCAGAAGCGGAGAACGCGGTTCCTAGTGGAGCTAGGATTGTTTTTATTAAATTTGTAATATTCAAATATTTGCATTGGTTCAGAATGCTTAATTTGATTTCATTTAAATTTAATCCAAAGTTCAATAAGTTTTTTTTATGGAGCTGAACAGCGATTGCGATTCGGCCCCCATTGGGCAGCCTGAGGGCACGTCACGAGTCATCATACGCAACTTTTTTTTCTTTTTTTTGTGTCCTCCATTAATTTTGTGTTTTATTTAGCGGTACTTTTCCAACCTTGGGGTCCACCACTTGCATCTGAACGCATCCCGCCATTTTTCAAAAACACAACGTAGAGTTCCACTTTGTCAGACGATCACAGAAGGCCAAATTTTGAATTTTTGAATTTTTTCACATGTCAATTTAAGGCGGGATGTTTGGGTTATCACAGTATTTTCTTTAATATTTAACATGGAAATAAAATTATTCTACTTCCATGATACATTACTATTTTAGTAAGAGATCCTTTAATACAATTATAGCCAAAAGAAAACGGTTTGAACATTTTAAATAGCAAATGCCTACCAAAGTTGTTGGAAATGTTTCTATCACTCTATTGGTTTTTAAATTTCGTTTGCAACGTTATTGTAATGAAGCACATCTGAAATTAGTGCATTTATTATTCCCACCAAAAAGTTGATGTCATTATTTTCACAAAAATATTTAGTAAACTGTATAACAAATTATGATTTTGAAAAAAGTATATGAATGAAAAGTTTTTATTATGTACAACTACTGTTTTGAAAATACCTATGTAACTCTTTAAACTCCCAACAAGAAAGTAACTTTGTTACGCCACTGTTTCGCTGTAAAACCGTAAGCACAGCAACACGTGACGCCTGACATAACCTCACATAATGTGCGAGAAATGTCAAAAAGAGTCAACAATGTTTGTAAATACTACAAATAAAACACTAGCTGTTGTTCAATTTGGACACCGCAGATTAAGCGCAATAGCAACAAAAGTTAATATCCAAGAACAATGTAGAGTTAATGCCTGGCAAGTCCATTCCTATGGGGACATAAATGAACTACAACGCGGAAACATCCGAATGCCACAAATTCGTGAACCCAATCAACTACTAATTAATGTAGAAGCTGCCTCAGTTAACCCTATAGACATTTTTATGTTAGGTAATCAGCGTTCAAACATAGCATTCACTTTTAAACTAAGCTTTGTAGCGGGTTATGGCAAAACATTAATGCAAATTCCAAGAAAATTTGAAATGGAATTACCCTTAACTCTGGGAAGAGATTTTTGCGGAACTATCATCTATAAAGGGCCAGGAGTAGGGAGTTCGTTTAGTATAGGCGACAAAGTATACGGATTTGTACCCATTCATAAACAAGGTAGCTTTTCTGAGGTGATAGTTGCCGATAATGATCATGTAAGCGCGATTTTACACAAAACTGCAAGCTGAAGATGTGGAATTGTAGATTTGCAAACAACCAAAGACTCTTAGTCCTGTTGAAAGCACATCTCTAGTTTATGCTAGCATGACGGCGTGGTCAGCACTATATCTTTTTGGTAATTTGGTAATGAAAGGAGCAAAAGGTTCACGGATATTAATACTGGGTGCTTCTGGTGGTGTCGGTACTGTGGCAGTCCAGTTATTAAAATCACAAAATGCCATTGTAAGGAACTGAATACTTTACAAACAAATTTTAATACGTTAGTTGTAGGTCCATGGCACATGCTCCAAGGATGCCATTCCTTTAGTAACATCCCTTGGAGCTGACTGTGTTTTTGACTACAGAGACCCAGATTATTTAAAAAATATTGAAAAAGAAGGCTTGTAAGTTGGACTTATGTTTTTAGCATTTATTAAAAAAAAAAAACAAAATTTCAGTTATCATATAATACTAGACTGCGCAAAATTCGGTTATGATAATATCCCAAAAACATGGAAATATGGAACTTATGTAACTTTAAATTCACCCCTTTTAATTAATGCAGATAAATATGGTTTAGTTAGAGGATTGATAAATAGCGCGGGTACATTTCTGCAACAGAATTTGAAACCTCCCAGTGAAAAAAAGTGCGTGATGTGGGGGTTTTTTACACCCTCTGGGAATGGCTTTCGTTTTATAGATAAACTTATTAAAGATGGAAAGGTAAATAATTCCAGTTTAAGTAACAATCACACAAATGGGTATTTTCCAGATTCGACCATTGATCCACAAGGAGTTTAAATTTGATGATTTACCATGTGCATTTGAAGAACTGAAAAAGGGTCACATGCGAGGGAAAATCGTTGTTACGTACTAATGTTATGTAATATTTATTACAATTTGTACTGAAACTCGTGATAATAAAAATAACAACTATTCACAAAACAAAATATTTTTAAAAAATATTAAACTCAATATATCTAATTAGGAAAGAACAAAAAGCGTTGCTACTAGACTAGATAAGTTTGCTGATTCACATATCTTTACTTTATCACATTCTGCTTAGCTGTGTTGTGGACTTTCACATGTTTATTCACTCCATGTCTAAACTTAGTTTGAAATGGACATAAAGGACATTTGTATACTGTCTGTAATGGATTATGTTCCATTTTTGAATGCTGGGCCAAATCAAGTTTATTCTTGCATTCAAAGCTACACTCAGTACATTTGTACACCGTCACTTTCATTACTTTTGGCAACATGTGTACCTTCATATGGCTACTCAAACCATTGTTCCATTTTGTCTGATAATTACACCTAGGGCACTTATACATTTTCAAAGCACCAGGTGCACTATGAACCTTCATATGATTCTTTAGACTAAATTTCCACTTAGTCTTAAATTTACATTGCAAACAATGATAAATTCGAGCCTCATCTGCAGCATGAATTTTTTTTACATGATTCTTAAGGTAACATTTCCATTTTGTTTCAAATGAACACTGCTCACAGTAGTAGGTTTGGAGACTATTTTCGAGTTTTAAATACTCGTTCCAAGTTTTATCAACAGGATTTGATGGAGGGCCTGAAGTTTTATCACTTTTTGTGGTCAGTGCAGGTTTGACCCTTTTTCTTTTCCTGTGTTTTATTCTAGGCACGTCAGCGGGTTTATGATCAATACTACGAAAAATAAGACAGTTGACCATTTAATGTTAATTTTAGAGAAATGTACCTCTCATCCTCTTCGATTTCGTTAATTTCCTCCTCTTCAATCTTTATCTCCGATTCGGTTAAAATGTGGTCGTCCATGATTAATCTTGATTATTGTTTTTGGGTGGGTAATTAGGTTTACGTATCAACTATTACATTCTATGGAATTACATGCTTTCAGCTTATAATTTTTAAATTTATTATAACCTCAAAATGTCAGGCGCTGTCAAACAACTGTCACTTCGATCACAAGCAAAGAAATAAAAATTCATTAAAAATAGTATAGTATACAACATAATGAATGAGTGTGAGTACAATTTCAATTAATTAAATGTGTAACAAGTTTTTGCTTAAATTACAGATCATGTCCGAAAAAGAGGTTATATACAAAACAGCACTTGGATCTCGAATACTAATTTTCGCCATACAATACATCTCCAACGTAGTTGTTCCAGATCATGAACCCGACGTTTTTCGTTTTCCTAAATTAAACGAATCTGGAATACTTGACACATTAATTGACCACATTGTTGGCGGCTTTGTAAGATGGGACGCCCAACATTTCATGCATATCTCAAGATATGGATACACTTATGAGCAAATTTTGGCGTTTTTTCCACTATGTCCATACTTAGTAAGATGTGTTGCCCTAACACTAAGCAATTTTGTTCCCTCTGTGAATATGGACTCATTAACACTTGTAGTGTTCCTATGTGTTAACACATTTTGTTTTATTCAGTCAGCGTTATGTTTGTATGAATTATCACTTCATTTTGTAAATAAGAAGTTAGCATATGCAGCGTCAATTCTCTTTTGCTTTAACCCAGCGTCTGTATTTTTTTCCGCGCCATACACAGAGTGCCTGTTCAGTTATTTAACTTTCAGATCTATGCTAAATTGTGTACTGTTGTATAAAAAATATTGTGATATTCATAGCCATTTGCAAGTCAGAGATGTTGCATATATTCTTCCCATTTGTCTAAGCACAGTGACAAGGTCAAATGGTGTCTTAAACATTGGCTTCCTCATGTATGTCATAATTTGCCTATACTTGGAAAAAGTAAAATTGAAAAAGCAAATATTTGACAAACTATTACACACTTGTAAGTTTATAACTTTGGCGATTATTCTTGGGTGCCTTTGTATTTTACCATTTATTTTATTCCAAGTGTATGGGTTTCAAATGTATTGTACAGACTTTATAAGTGAGTTACCACCAACAGTATTACAGCACAAAGATATAGAAAAATTTGTACTACCAGGTAGTTTTTCAAAACACCAGCAAGCTTGGTGCTTTAACAAACTACCATTGTCATATTCATACATTCAATCTTACTACTGGAAAGTAGGGTTTTTGCAATACTACGAGTTAAGACAAGTTCCAAACTTCGTCTTAGCTTTTCCGATCGTTTTTATTTTGTTAGAGGGCGCATTTCAATTTTTAAAAAAAGTTCCTAGAGATATCGTTAAAATATTCAATTTTAACTTATTGCAGCACACTTTCAAACGTAAATCTAAATTAAATCCAGCCATGAACGTGTTCATAATTCATGCAACAGCACTGACTTTATTTTGTGTTACGAATATTCACGTGCAAGTGACCACACGAATGTTGTGTTCGGCGAGTCCTGTGTTATACTGGTTTTGTGCCTGTCATGTTTGTGATCTCTCTAAAGAGACTTTATTTAAGGAAATTATATATATACGCTATTACAAAAGAGAGCATTTAATAATAGTTTACTTTTTAAGTTATTTTGTTATAGGGACAGTACTGTTTTGTAATTACTTACCTTGGACTTGACAAATATATTTTTTCAAATTTTGCGCCTTGTAAATTCACTTGACGTTGTTGGTGGCAGCACTGTCAACATTGAAAAAGTTCAAAACTTTCAATTCCAACCTAAAACATTCAAGATTTTTTTTATTTTTTATCGTCTGTATCGTTACGTAATTATGCTTTATTTAAAAAAAATGGCTAAACCACATTTAAGGGTTGGTTGTATAGCTACAAGTTTAATACAGTTTCAGAACAGAGTATTATTAAAATATGATGCTCCCTCTTTCATCTCATGTATTGGGACGGTATTGGTGTTCATTATTCTTCAAAACAAGATGTTTGTCCGCGCTTCGGACGTGACCCCACAACGTACGGGTTACGTGACTACAAATATACATAAAACATTAATATTTGTAGCTTTTAATTTTTAAATATTCCCCAGTTTGCTGTTTGTCTCTAACTGTGTGCGTGGACGAAAATGTGTTTGTTTAGCAAAAGAAGTGTCCCAACTTTGTTACAAATAGGCAGAAAAAAGTGCTATTATCCACGAAAGTGCCTAAGCAGTAATCAACAAAAAGTTAGAGCTTTTGAAGAAATTCCTGGACCCACTTCACTACCTCTCATTGGAACTTTACATTTATATGCACCGTTTGTAGGTATGTAGGTAGAAATTATGTTTACTTTGTTGTAACTAAAATTAATTAACATAAAATAATTGTTTAGGACGTTACCACTTTGATCGATTGCACCAAAATGCCCTTAAAAATTACAATCTATATGGACCAATTATTAGGGAAGAAATCGTACCAGGTGAACACATTGTGTGGTTGGGTGATCCAGACGACATTGCGAAAATGTTTCACACTGAAGGGGTATACCCACACCGCAGAAGTCATCTCACGTTGGAAAAATACAGGCTGGATCGACCCCACATTTACAATTCTGGTGGACTCTTACCAACGTGAGTTACTCAAAAGTGTTTTTTAATAAAATGCTAATTAAAATTGCTAGTAATGGCCCAGAATGGGCAAGAATGCGAAAAACGTTTCAGAAAGGTTTGTCTTCTCCAGCTGAAGCCATCTCTTTCATAGGAGACTCGAATGATATAATCACAGAATGGATGGATACAAGACTTGCACAGATTTATAAAGATGATTGTGTAGATTTTCTTCCTGAATTGTCAAGGCTGTTTTTAGAATGTTAGTATTTAAGTTGTAAACTACACCACATGAAAAAAATCATATCCAAGGCGTCAAAAAAGTCACCAAATCATCTGTCAGTTTTCCAGTGGGGATAAATGTATTAATTTTTGTATACAATGTAATACTAATAGCACCACTGCATTCCTAGAATTTTAGAAATATTAAATAAGCTGTTCCTGATCTAATCAGTAACACAAACAATTTAATATTGACATAGTTATCAAGTATCTAGGATTACACTTTGGACTGTTGAACGTCACGTACATCATCTTTTCCAGTGTCAAAGTTCCATTACAAAAATAACCAGATACATAGACTTCATAAATCATATAGTTAGCACCTATAGTCTTTTCCATTTCCATTGAAACACCACCTGTTGATTTTGCTTAAAATTTAGCAATTGGTAACAGTGTTCGGTTGATTGACAACGGCTTTTAGTTAGAAAATTGTCTGAATATGAACGTTGCCAAATTTACGATCAACAAGTGGTGTTTCAATAGAAATGGCAAAGACTATCTAGATAAATTTTAATATCATGACAAGTAACCAGATCTGGCAACACTGGCCGCAGAAAGACGAATGATTTTGTGACTAAAGCTGCGCTGTGCGTTTTCCGTACCTTGCAGACGTCTTTGATATATTTTTTAATCATGTGGTGTCGTATTTTAGTAGTTGGTGTGGCCGCATTTGACATAAGATTTAATAGTTTCACTGATGAGGAAATCCAGCCTGATTCAAAATCAGCGAAATTAATAGATTCGGCTTTCGTAAGCAACAGTACTATTTTAAAAACTGACAACGGACCGCAGTTGTGGAGAAAGTTTGAAACTCCGGCGTACAGACGGTTCAAGAAGGCGCAAGAGTTCATGGAAAGGTGTTTTTACATTCTTTTGTACCAAATTGTACTAAAATAAAACTTTCAGTGTTGCTATTGACTTGGTGGCTCTTAAAATGTCGACTTTTAGAGAGAAAACTCAAAACAGTCCAACGTTACTAGAAAGTTATATAGCAAATGAATCGCTAGATTTTAAAGATATAATTGGCATAGTGTGCGACTTTTTATTAGCAGGAATGGATACTGTAACCACGCTATCATTTCCACAGAAATAATAATCAATTTTTTATTTTAGACGACATACACGTCTGGTTTTTTGTTGTATCATTTGGCTACAAATCCCTCAGTTCAAGAAAAACTTTTTGAGGAAGCAAGCCGCCTTCTTCCGAGTCCGTCTGACTCAGTAACTCCAGAAATATACAACGACGCAAAATACGCAAAGTGTGTTGTTAAGGAATCTTTAAGATTGCGACCGATTTCAATTGGTGTTGGACGAGTATTAACTTCTGACGTTGTTTTCTCAGGTTACAACGTTCCGGCAGGGGTAAAAAGCAGAAATAATTTATATTAAAAATATATTTGTGTAGACTGTTGTAGTTACTTTAAATCAAGTTTTAAGTCGTCTGGAAAAATACTTCCCGGAGCCTAACGCGTTCAAACCTGAAAGATGGATAAAGAATGACCCTTTGTACAAACGTACTCATCCTTATCTCGTTATTCCCTTTGGACATGGACAGCGCACTTGCATCGCTAGAAGATTCGCCGAACAAAATATGATCATGTTAATTCTGAGGGTTATTTAAGACAAATTGTGGAAATAATTTTATTCATTTGTTATTTTTTAGTTGGCAAGAAAATATAAACTCAGTTGGAGTGGTTCCGAAATTGATTCCAAGTCGTTGTTGATCAACAAACCTGATGGACCAATCCTATTGAAATGGGAGGAAAGATAGCTGTAGGTATTAAGCCATATACGTATAGTATTTTTATGTAGTTTTCTATGTTGAAATATATTTTTAGTAATCATCAGACTAATTCATTGTAAACCTAAACCTAAATTCTCAAAATACCATAATCCTAAAATCCTCATAATACCATAATCATCAGAGCATCATAATCCTCAAATCCTCTGAACAACAGAATCGTCAATTCCTCAATATCATTATGTTCAAATCCTCAGAACATCATAACTTTCAAATCCACAAGACATCATAATCCTTAAATCCTCACTTCATAGTCCTCATATCTTCAGAACACTATAATGCTCAAATGATCAATACACCAGATTGAGTCCTCAGATACTTGGAACAACATAATTTTCAAATCCTCAGAATAACATAATCCTCTAATTCTCAGAACATCATAAATTTCAAATCCTTAGAACATCATTTGTGCGATCTGTACTTGAATATGGGTGTTTAATCTGGGCCCCATACTACAGGACTCATGTTGAGAGAATTGAAAAAATTCAGCATAAATTTATAAGATCCATGCTTCATAGGTTACCCACGAATGTAAGTTCTTCCATGGAACTTAGTAGATCCTACTTAGGACTTGATTTATTAGAATCTCGTAGGCTTTTCCTAAAAGTATGTTTCGTTTATAAGGTATTAAATAATCAATATGACGTACCGAATATTATTAATTTACTGCAGTTTAACGTCCCTTGTTATACCCTCAGGTCAGTTCCGTTGTTCTACATAGATTTTTGCCAGTCTAATTATGCGTTACGATCACCCATGAATTCTCTAATGTTTGCATGTAATAGTGTAAGTGATTATGTTGACTTCTTTGCGGACATGTTACCCACGTTTAAGAGAAATATTAGAGCTATATTATTGTAATCTTTTTGAACCATGTGTACATTGTGTTATCGTTCTTTCCATGTACCGATGTATGCTGTAAAGGCTCTTTGCCGTAAATAAACTATTATTATCATAATCCTCAAATTACCAATACACCAGAATCCTCTTAAAACAGCATGATCCCCAGAACATCGTAGTCCTCATATCTTCAGATCACCAGAATCCTCAGATACTCAGAACATCGTAATTTTAAAATCCTCAAATCCGCAGAACATCATAATCCCCAAAACCTCAGAACACTATAATCTTCAGATCCTCAAAACAGTATCATTCTCAAAACCTCCGAACATTATAATCCTCAGAACATTATTATTTTCAAATCCTTAAAACACCATAATCCTCAGAACATCATAATACTCAAATTAATTATCAATACACCAGAATCCCCAAAATAGCATGATCCTCAGATCATAATCCTCAAAACAACATAATCTTCAGAACACCAAAATCCTCAAATTCTCAGAACATCATAGACTTCAAATCCTCAGAACATCATAATCTTCAAATTACCAATACACCAGAATCCTCAAAACAGCATGGTCCTTGGATCATCATAATTCTCAAATCCTCAGAACATCATAATCCACAAATCCTCAGAACATAATCTTTAAATCTTCAGAATATCATAATGCTCAAATTAATTATCACTACACCAGAATCCTCAAAATAGCATGATCCTCAAATCCTCAGAACATCACAGTCCTCATATCTTCAGAACACCATAATGCTCAAATTATCAATACACCAGAATCCTCATCAGATACTTGGAGCATCATAATTTTCAAATCCTCAGAACATTATAATCCTCAAATCCTCAGAACATCATAATCCACAAATCCTCAGAACATAATCTTCAAATCTTCAGAACATCATTATACTCAAATTAATTATCAATACACCAGAATCCTCAAAATAGCATGATGCTCAAATTCTCAGAACATCATAATTCATAATCCTTAAATCCTCAGAACATCATAAACCTCAAATGCTGAAAATATCATAGGTAGTTCTCAAATCTTTAAAACACCATAATCCCCAAATTCTCAGAACATCATAATCCTCAAATACTCAACATAATAATCCTCAGAATAGCATAATCCCCAAATCGTCAAAACATCATACTCCTTAAATCCTCAGAACATCATAGTCCTGAATTAAATGCCGAAAGATCGAAAAAAAAATTAGTCAAAGTTGGCTATGCACGAAAAGCCGTTTGTCTTAGTTTAAACACGGCCAACTGTATTAATACAGTTGGCCGTGGTTTAAAATAATTTTGTATTAAATGTTACGTTGACAAAAGGAATTTGCAATGTTACGTTTGTCAACGTGACGTTTAATAAAAAATTATTTTAAACTACGACAAACGGCTTTTCGTGCATAGCCAACTTTGACTAATTTCTTTTTCGATCTCTCGGTACTTATAATGACGAATCTACAAATATGAACGACGTAAGTATTATACATGTTAATAAATACCAGCGCCTTTGAAAATTAATGTAAAAAAAAATTATGTTGGCAACACCAATGCGTGCCTTGTTCACTTTGATAGTTACAATGAGGTAAGTGTCAAATACATGGCCTACTGGACGACTTTTTTTCGACCACGTGTTATTAAAATATACTCAACGGTTTTAGTGTACCTACTGCTTGAACTTCATAATGAGACGATTTTTCATTGCAGCCAACAATATTTTCTCTTTAGGATTACCTAATAAAATTGATAATCTGATAGGTTCTTCAAAATTATAGGAAACATGAAAATATATTATCTATTTATTTTATATATACAAACACTTAAAAAATACTTAATACAGTGGTGGTGGGTAAGGTTTGGAAAGTAATTCGTGGGTGGTTAAAAATGGTGAATCTACGATTTGGGTTGGAACAGCAGCTGGATAAGGTTTTAAATCAGTAATAAAGGTTTGTACGGGTTCTTTACTGACTACTTGGGCAGCAGGATAGGGTTTTAACACTTCAAGGGCACCAATATGATACTCATACTTTGTTGCTACGGGAACAACTGGAACCAAATTGGGTTTCACTACTTCCACAGGAACGGCTGCTGGATACGGTTTTAAATCCTCAACGACGACTTCTGCAGGATATGGTTTCGTCACTTCGGAGGTAATAACATCGTACTCATACTTTGTTACTACGGGAGCACTTGGAACCAAATTGGGTTTCACCACTTCCACAGGAACGGCTGCTGGATAAGGTTTTAAATCCTCAACAACGACTTCTGCAGGATATGGTTTCGTCACTTCAGGGGTAATAACATCGTACTCATACTTTGTTACTACGGGAACACTTGGAACCAAATTGGGCTTCACCACTTCCACAGGAACGGCCGCTGGATAAGGTTTTAGATTATCAACAAGGACCTCTGCAGGATATGGTTTCGTCACTTCGGGGGTAATAACATCGTACTCATACTTTGTTACTACGGGAGCACTTGGAACCAAATTGGGTTTCACCACTTCCACTGGAACGGCTGCTGGATAAGGTTTTAAATCCTCAACAACGACTTCTGCAGGATATGGTTTCGTCACTTCGGGAGTAATAACATCGTACTCATACTTTGTTACTATGGGAACACTTGGAACCAAATTGGGTTTCACCACTTCCACAGGAACGGCTGGTGGATAAGGTTTTAAATCATTGACAAGGACTTCTGCAGGTTCTTCGTTAACCAGTACAGCAGCTGGATATGGTTTCGTCACTTCAGGGTTAATAAGATCGTACTCATACTTTGTTACTATGGGGACACTTGGAACCAAATTCGGTTTCACCACTTCCACAGGAACGGCTGGTGGATAAGGTTTTAAATCATCAAGGACCTCTGTAGGTTCTTCACTGACAACTACAGCAGCAGGATATGGTTTTGACACTTCAGGAGCACCAACATCGTACTCGTACTCTGTTACTATGGGAACGGCTGGTGGATAAGGTTTTAAATCATCAACTTCTGCAGGTTCATCGGGAACCAATACAGCAGCAGGATATGGTTTCGACACTTCAGGAACACCAACATCGTATTCGTACTTTGCTACTACAGGAACGACTGGAACCAAATTCGGCTTCACTACTTCCACAGCTGGTGGATATGGTTTTTCGTCGGATGTTTCTTCAGGAACTGCTGGAGAATAGGGTTTCGATTCTTCTACCACGCCAACGTTATACTCATATTCTGTGACGATTGGTACGACTGGAGGAGAGTCGGGAACAACCGGTAAAGGAGCAGGATAGGGGAATGAAATGGGTGCCGGATAGGGTTTCGGTTGATCTTCTTCAGTGACAATTACGGGCTCGACAGGAATAGCGGGAGGGTATGGTTTTGACACTTCTGTAACTACAGGAACGACAGGAATCAAAGGTTTGACTACTTCTACAGGAATATCTTCATCCAGTTCACGCACATCGATCTCCGGCATGTCTGAGGAATTTTCTTGCGTTTCTAAGAGTACCGCTGGAGGGTAGGGTTTCGTTTCCACAACATCAGCTGTAATTAAGGTCTCTAACAGTGATGGATATGGTTTTGTTTTTTCGGAAATCTCTTCAAAATTTTCCACTGGTACCGCAGCCGGATACGGTGCTGTGGTTGTTATTCGTACCGTTGCGGGTTCTACTGGGGGTGGATACGGGTAAGAACGCAAAATTATTCCAGCAAAAGCTACATTTGCGGAGCTTATAGTTAAAAGAAGGGTTAAAAGTGTTGTTTTCTAGAATATTCACTAAAAGTTAGAAACTTACATTGATTAAATATAAATACACTTACCATTTTGTGTGTTTAATTTTGAAGGAATGCGGGCTAAATTGTGCGTTAATGCATTTTTATACTTTTAACGTAGTGCCCTTAGGGTTCACACTACTTTTGTCATTGTCAACGTCTTTAGAAAGTAAATTTAAGTGCACAAAATGAAGTATGGCTAACAAAAGAATCGATTAAATGGAAAAAGTCATAATGTTTACTTAATGGTTTTTTAAAATGTGTATTGATTTAACAATTTGCAGAAGTATTCAACCTTGTTGTATTTAATCTATGCTGGGTGTCCAGAACATGTGAAAGATAATCCATAGAAAATAAGAGCTGGCAAAACCCAACTTTTTTACTCTGGGTATATGATTTTTAAATATTTGGAAGCAATTAAGCAACAAAGAATG